GTCTTCTCTGTTCACACCACAAACTTTGCCTGCTTTTTATTCCTGTTAGCTTTACACAGCCAGTAAAGCAAAAACAGTGAACGAGAATTTATTCTTCCTGCTGCACTACTACTACTTTGATACACTTTCAGTCTCGTAGATAGTGCTGAAATTGAACAGAAATGCTTTGAAGTGTCTGCATTGGCTGTTCATGCCTGTCCTGGGCAGATTAGATGTGACAAGGAAGGAACTCATCTTTGTTCTCCAACCCCAGGATGAAACACTGGCAGATAACTATTTCCTACTTGTAAATGGACTGTAGTGTCATTGAGATGCAGCAAACTTGAAATCTCCGTTTGCTCCGTAGTTTGCTATGGTCATAGTGACTGCGTGGTAAGGCCCAGCGCAAAAGAAACCCTCAAGGTAAAATGCGCAATACTAAGCCTCACAAATTTGGAGGGGAAAAAGGTAAGGCTGAGCCATTTCACGTGGGACTCATGTACATCAAAGGTGATACATAAGCACTTTTGCCTAGCTTTATTCTGTAAGCTAACTCTTACCTTGGTGAACAAAGTCAACACTGGTTTATTTGCGCTGGGTGAACCGAGTTGTCTCCCCAGTGGACTAGATGTACGTCTTGCCGGCTGCACTGTTCTCAGGAAAGAAAGCACCATTGTCCTGTTAAGGCAAAAATAAAATGTGCAGTTTAATTGTTTTGTGGTAAGTTATAGCTCATGAAATTCAATTTTAAGGTAAATGTGCTTCAATAGTAGTTCTAAAATACACACAGTCAAACCATTTCCCCAGCATTTTTATGTTCAGAGTCTCAACACATTAATCAGAAAAATCGTTTACTATGCAGCAGGCCAGAAACAATTTTTGGGTAGCTCAAGAACTGTAGCTCTGTTTAAAAAGAATATTATATTTTCTTTCTGAAATGCTTCTTAAATTCTTTAACATAAATGCTGACATAAATACATTGTGCTTTTTCAACTAGACATGTGCCAGTAAGAATTACATGGTATTAACGAAATGCAAAGTGCTGTGCTTTGAACCTCAGTAATCTTACTGCAGTGCTTGGCATAAATATTCTACTTACTCAAAATTATTTCATCAAACAACTAATCTGTATCTAATCAGAACGTTAAAATGATGCTTCCTGCAGTGAATAAAAGGCTGCAGCCAAGATGATTTAACTTGGTAATATTAAAAGCATGCACATTACCCTGAGTCCTTCCTGTGACAGCAAATTAATTTATGAAAGATGTTGATGGGTTTGTGGTTTCTTTGGGGAGGTTTAAGTCAATTTAGTGTTGTTGAAGGGTGCCATACTGTAGACTTGCAGTCATCTATTCATAATAATACTAACCAGAGCAGTGCTTCTTCCATAGATGCATCTTAATGGGATCTTTACAAGACGTTCTAGAATTGAAAGCAAGAAACAAGCAAAAGAGAACCTGCACTAAGACTGTTGGCAAAGATGATGCTGTGTAATTCACGAGGTGTTGCCAGACTCTACACTGGGACAGTCAACTCCCTTTGCATAAAGCCAGATATAAGAGTTTCTTTCCAGGCGCGGCTCACCTGTATTTTCACTAACTACAGCTGACCACAAACATGCATTGTATTTGCCCAGGTTTAAACTCTTTAAGTGTGAGGTACAAAACAGAACAAAAGCAGGTCTAAGTTGCAATTGATAAGCATGTTTTAGGATGCTCAATAAAAAAGAACCTAGGGCATCCATTGACTTTCTCAGTACTAATAATGTGTGACTCTGTTTTGTTAGAGAGAGCTTTACCAACCCGCCCTCTAAGGAATAACAAAACATGGTGGCTGAATCTGAACTTAAGTTCTCTTAATTGAGAGGGCTGACCTGCTGGAAAGCTGCTCTGCAGAAAAGGACCTGGGAGTCTTGGTGGACAAACTGACCATGAGCCAGCAATGTGCTCTTGTGGCCAAGAAGGCCAATGGTATCCTGGGTTGCACTAGGAAGAGCCTTGCTGGCAGGTCAAGGGAGGTAATCCTCCCCCTCTACCCAGCCCTGGTGAGGCCATGCCTGGCCCACCTGTGTCTAGCTCTGGGCTCCCCAATACAGGAGAGACATGAAGTTCCTGGAGTGAGTCCAGTGAAGTGCTACTAAGATGATTAAGGGACTGGAGCACCTCTTCTATGAGGAAAGGCTGAGAGAGCTGGGACTGTTGAAAAGAGAAGACTGAAGGGGGAGGGAATCTTATCAATGTGTATAAGTATCTGAGGAGGGAGGGTGTCAAGAGGATGGGGCCAGACCCTTCTCACTGGTGCCCAGCGATAGGGCAAGAGGCAACAGGCACAAACTGAAACACAGGAAAGTCCATCTGAACCTGCCAAAAAACTTTACTGTGAGGGTGACTGAGCACTGGAACAGGTTGCCCAGAGAGGCTGTGGAGTCTCCATCCTTGGAGATATTCAAAAGCCGTATGGTCAGGGTCGTGGGCGGCCTGCTCTAGGTGACCCTGCTTGAGAGGAGGGCTAGACTGGAGGATTTCCAGAGGTCCCTTCCAACATCAACCATTCTGTGATGTTTCTAAGCAATAGCAGTCAAAAAAAAAAAAATCAAACTGGTAACAGGACATTGCCCCATTGGCTTTACTATGCTGTCGAAGATCCTTGTTTTTTCCAGAGGACGAAGGTAAGGGTAACTTGTAAGATTTCCAGAAGTTTCGATAGAACAAATGCAAAGGAAAGGTATTGCCCTTTGAAAATTATAACTGAGTGATCAAATTTCAGATGCTACAAAACAACCTGATTTTTTTCTTTGACCCCATAAAATATGTGGCCTAAAATGGAATATACTTCAGTGAACGCCATACTGCTTAGCTTGGGACAGAAAAGGCTCTCCAGTTGTGTCATGCTTTATGCTGCTAAGAGAGCCAGCTGCAAAGGCTGCGTGGGGTCCTTACTGTCACTGCAAAGTTTCAGGTGACTGGTGCAGCGCACTCTGCCATTGGTGACAGTCCTTGGCAGCTGCTGAATTTGTTTTACTTGGCCAGGTGGAAATGTAACTGTCCAGGATTTTACCTACTAAATACAGAAATAAGCCTGAAATATTGTAAAAAATGCAAATCTGGATGACAGTAACCAGCCCTAATAATATTTAGAAATGTTTATGTCCACAATAAATAGCTGCCTGGAATGGATGTGTTTTTGGCATAACAAAGTGCAGCATGTGGGCTTGTTCACATGCAAGATAAAAATGTCAAAATAAATGGTTTGCATTCTGGCAGGTTTTTAAATTAATATTTTGGTGCCTGTCTAGCAGGCCAAATTTTGTGCCTTCAAAACAAGGAAAAAAAACTGAATTGCTCCACGAAAAGCAGAATGAATAAAGCCTAGATTTCTGTGGATCTTATTGCCCATATACACATACATGTGCACAAAATGACTTTGGTTCCATTGTTTATCCCTCTCTTTTTAGCTACCTTCCGGGTGCCCCAAATACTGACTGCGAAGAGCAGGACACAGTGACCAGACAAGCACAGGGCAGCCACAGGCACATGCAGAGCTGACAGAGTAACCAGCAGGCTGGGTGCAGGGGGTGAAGGCTGAGCTCACAGGGAAGCATTCCTCTCGAGGTATTTACTTGGATCTTCCTCCTCTACTCTGCTTCTAAGTTTCTCAAAGTACCTATAAATTGTACTAGCATGTTTGAGATCTCTGTCCTCAGATAAATTTGAGTTCAGTGGTCAGTTCCAGCCAGAACAGCAACTGAAGGGGAATGGTTAAAACAATACCAGTACCTAAGCTTTAGGATCTCACAAGAAGAAATAGATTTGTGCAGTATCTCTCTCCCTTAGAAATTTTAAATCATCATAAGCAACACAGTCTTTGGAATTTAAGAACAAACCTTTGTCAAACAACTGGCTGTAGTTCCCAGAGTACTCAGACTTGTGGACTGGGTACTTCAGAGTCCTGGCTCTTAATTTAGAGTGAGGCTATGTAGAGTGGCTACTCTCTACGTAGAGTGAGGCTAAGGCCCTACTGTTTTGCCAGTAATGGAAAGACTCAAAGGACTAATCCTGATTTATAAAATGACCCCAGTCTCATCCATGCTCCAGTCACTCTGTTGCACCAGCATAAAGCAGTCTGACACGTTTAGCCCTGAACAAGGGTGAGATGTCAGATGGCATCGTCTTGCCTCAAACACTTCTGAAGCCCACAGTTGCCAGAGCATCATTAGGAAGGAGAGTGGGCGGACGAGCTGTGTTCAACCTGTACTGAAGCACGATCCTAGCATAGAGCAGCTTCAGCTTCACAGGAGCACAGCTAAAGTTCTGCTCCAACAAAAATCTGCTTTTAAATCAGTAGGATTTACTAATCCTATTTATTAAGTAAAAAGGTTTTGGATAAAATCAGAGTTGTGGCTTTGCATAAACACTGGAGGGTTCTAATCATATTGTAAGGGGTTATGTGTAGTTGCTATCGATCAGAAGCTGATCAAAGGGAAAACCCAACCATCCATCAGGCAGTTTTACTGCAGCAGCTCAATTTAGCTGAGCAACATGCCGGAGCCACATGGGTGTCTACTGCATGCACGCTGCCATTGTGTGACTGAGTGGGTTCCCAAACACTGGCCTGCACTGGGCTGAGTGAAATTTCTGGAACGAATTGCTCCAGCCTTGTGGATCATTTCCCTCTTACATCAGTGGTGAAACTGGTTGGAAGTGCTGCACAGATGCCCCACAGCTTTCACTTCCTGTGGAAGAATCTGCATCCTATCTGTGTTTTATTATGAAGAGACTAAACTGCTAACAACACACACAAAACCTTCCAGCACAACTATTTTGGAGCTCTCCTTAGCCTACCCTCAGGTAATTACAGAGACTTGCTTTAGGGACACTATTAATATGTAAATAGAAAGCCAGGAAGCTTGCAAACTCGAAAGCTCACACTCCTGCATGCTATAATGGTAAACAATAATTTAACGAATGATGCTTGAAAGTCTAAACCTGGCCAGTGCTGTATTTCGCAAAGCCAAATTGGACTAATTTCCTATAAATAGAATTTCCACTGGCTAATAAATCCTGATCTGCTGTAAAAATAAGATGTGACACTAAAACTAGCCATTATTTAGGCTAAATAATTAGCTGTATAAACCTCATCTTTGCATCAGTCATGCAAAGATAAGCATGATGGTTTTTTTTTAACTATGTACCTTTTAATGATGCTATATACTCTTAACCAATCTCTGCTTCAGGTCATCGGCATACTCAAGCTCTTTGGTTCTGGATGTTTTATAGGCATAATTATGAAGGCTTTTGGACATAATCATGTCCCGATTTCCATAGTTTTCTATCCATAAGCATGAAAATGAAATTATTATGAAGTCACAGGATTTGTCTATATACACTGTACATTTTTGCCTGTAATATTTGACTCTGGAACCATAAGGTGGCTTTGACAGCAGCAGAATTGCTTGGAAAAATCACATCCCTTTCTGCAAGGTGACAGTAACACATCAGAAACATGAAAACACTGTTAAATTTGAATAAAATGGAATGCAAGACTGCCCTGAACATTTTCTAGCTCTTTGTTTTTAAAGAAATGTCATAAATGTCTATTAAACTGATTTCTACTCTCCATTTATCCCTCGTGCTAGTACGATAAAGGGATATAAACTGAAGCAGAAACAGGATGGG